ACGTAGCCAAATTGCCATTGACTTCAACATGCCGCCACACCCCTTCTCACTACTGAACATAGGAAGCCGGCCGGGATGCGAGTGATAATTGTACGCCATATTTCAGTCAAGTCCAGGACAGATTTCCCCACCAATTTCAACCAGTGTATAGAAAGTACCCTCTGGTGCCTTTAACATACCTTCTCCACTCCTGTCCAATACCAGCTGAGGCCTCCACAAAGTTTCTAGGCAAGTATTGACCATGCTCTGATAGTTGGTAGCACCATACTGCTAGAAATATACCCTCCATGTGACAGCACTCAAGCCTGATTTAAACACTGGATTGTAGAGCTGCAACAGTTAATCGATTTAGTCGATTAAAATCGACGATTGAAAACGTTGGCAACGTTAGATTGTAGGAGGACATGGGCATTTCTGGGCCCCCACACAGCGTGGATTGGCACCGTGGACTAGAAGGTGCTTGCTGTATACTCATAATTGCTTTCAAGTTCAACACAGATTTTATTGACATCATAAAATCTAAAAGCCCAAAACTTTTTTTCCTCATTTAAGGATAGTAGAGGTGTCGCCACATACCTGTTTCTGTCCCAGTATCCAGCCATAAAACCATTGCCTTGCACAGGTACAACATAAAATAGATAGAGGCAGACGGCACTGTTTTCTGCCAGGCTAGTTCTTTGCAAGGTGAAGAATCTATGAATTCTGTGGACTTGGGAGTCAACGAGACCGTATAATCAGCCATGTGTTGGGGTGAGGGGGGCTGAAAGTGGCCATGGATCTGATATGCACAGAACCTTCCATTTTTTTAAATCTAGTGCTGTTTTTCACTGTATATTACTAGAGTTTTTGGTTTACTGTCAGCCAATAACACCATAGTTTGTATGTATAGTTGCTAATGAAAAAAGGTTATGTGTTAAAAACTCAACTTTTTGCGCTTAAGTAGTGAATGGCAAAATGTTGTTTTAACGTGTTTTGATGTTTTCATAATAGTATGGTTGTATTTTACAGATTGTGTTCTTTTAGGGGAAGCTTATCATTCGGAGCACAGTCGCCATTCGGATCCTAGTGCTCCTCCGAACAGTCCAACTGGACTAGCATCTCAACCTCCAGTCTCTCCCCACAGTCCTCCGCACCCATACCTCTCTTCATCTAATTCTGCAGCCCCTTTTTCAGCAACAAGCCTCTCGCCTCACACTGCACCCTCTAAAGCCACTGTCTGCCCCAGCTCTGGAGCTCACAGAAGTCCTCATATAACAGGGTCCAGTCCATCTCTCAAAGTAAATCCGCCTCCCCCGCCACTCTCTGCCTGTAGCCATCCCTGCAATGGACACTGTAATGGAACAAATGCACTACAAGGAGGAAGCACACCTGGGACCACCACCAGGTAAATACTTTAACAATGTTTTTCATCTTTTTTTTTTTTTTCAATATACATAACTTATTATAAAGTGTATTTTTGTGAACTTAATACATTGCAACAGTGCTATTCAAGTGAATGTGATGAGGCTAATGTTATTTGTGCTCTGCTCTTTTTAGTAACATAGTACTGTACATAAGATTAAAAAAAGACACAGGTCCATCAACTTCAACCAGTGTGTATGTATATGTGAGCACAAAAAAGGCATCCATAATGGATCTAGTGTGGTGAGAGCAGGTAACACCAGCTCAGCTTGCTACCTTGGTGTATTTTACACTTCTACTTTAGTTATCAGTTTTTTTAAGTGGACCACCAGTCAAAGCTGTTTTTAAAGCTTTGGTAAGACTGATGAAGGATTGGGACATTTTGTGAATATTCGTTTATGCTGTGTATGTGCTCATTGCAAAGATATTCCTTTTCTTCCTGTCCCAGAGATTTAAAACTTATACAAGGAAATGTCATGCCCAAGAGCAGGCAGCATAAATTGCCTGGCATTAACCTTTGTTTGCAAAAACACCCTCTTTATATTGGCAATGGATGCAGCCTCAAAGAACGGATAGTGGGGTGTTGTGTGGGAACGGCTTAGTTTCAGTCTACGGGGATTAAGCTGGTCATACGTTGCTCAAATTGTGGCCGAGTTTTACTGACTTGGCCAAAATTTGAGCAGTGTGTTGCCTATCAGCACCTCTCCATTCAACAAAAGTGTTTTTTTTTATTTTTTTTAAATCCACTATTGTTGAACGAGGTAGGCAAAATATTGTTAGCTGAACAGTGATGGCAGCCAATCAGCTGCAGTTACTGTTATGTCGAATCTTCCCCAAAATCGTCACCTGCAGCTGTCAGAATACAATACCCTGGCAGGGAAGATTCTCTAATCAACACTGTTTTGCCCACATAGCTGAACAAGAAAAAAAAACAGAGTAATTTTATCAAAACTGGAGCAGTTGCCCACGGCAACCAATCAGCTTCTCTCAAGTTAGTTCAGTTAAGATTTGAAAATAAAAGAAAGAAGCTGCTCCAGTTTTGATAAATTCCCCTCATCGTGTATGGCCAGCTTTAGTCAGAAAACTTGAGTTAGTAGCAACAAAGTCTAAGCAGGGTCATAAGAGCTTGCAGAATAACTTTTCATTTAAGGCATTTTTAGCAGTAGATTGTGTAACTTTTTTTAATGTTTTTCTTTTTTTTTTTTTTTTCTTCTTTTCTAATATTCACAATACTTTCTGAATAACAAAGATCAACAGAAAAGTTAAGGTGCTCCTATTATCTTTTGAAAATAAACTCCATTTAAATTGTCATGTTTTAAGTGCTGTTCTCAATCTTACATTTTAGTGTAAAGTAAACTGTGATGAGGTCAAAGAAATGAAACATTAAGGAAAGAAGAACAACATTTTTTCTTCAATGCGAATCTTCTGAATGTTTTAGGGATTCAACATGTCGAGGACACAAGTTTTCCAATGTATCAAGCTGCTCCAACTTGCAACCCTGTGAGGCAGACGAGGGTCTGGGGGAAGATGAAGACAGTAGCTCAGAGCGTAGTTCATGCACTTCTTCCTCCACCAACCAGCGAGATGGCAAGTTCTGTGACTGCTGCTACTGCGAGTTCTTTGGCCACAACACGGTAAGCCATTCTAAGTTCAAGTTGCACTGAAGCATAACAGAGCTAAAATTGTGGAAACACAGACCTTAAAGCCGAAGTAAACTGGTGAATTTTTTAGTTTTTGCCTTTATGTGCAAGTTTGCACAGCACACTTACCTTACACGTGTGCCCCTCTCTAGCACTGTCAGATCGATCTTTGGTCCTCAGCTCTGTCCCCTGCTGCCGACACTTTTGTATCCGCACAGGAGTTACATCCTCCCTGGCCAATTCATGGCATCTTGGATTGTACACAAAAAATAAAACATCACTACACAAAAAATAAAACATCACCGAGGCAGAGAGGCAATTTTTTCTTTTGGCAGAAGAGACTTTGCATGTCTCTTCTGTCAAAAATCCTCACCTCTCAGCTATTTTTTTTAAAAGATTTTTTTCACTTCCTCTCTAAATGCTAAGCTCATGTATTATTTATCAGTGAGTGCACCACAGCATGCTAAGTCGCCTTTTACCTGTTTGTCTCTCGGTGAGATCATTTCTCCTGAGTTCCCAACAATCCGCTGCAGCTGCTACTGTCTCATTAGTTTTCATCAAAAGTGTTGTATGGTTGTCTTCCTTACTTGAGTGGAGAATTTCTTTCCATATTTTTAGCCACCTCCAGCCCCGACAAGTCGAAATTATCCAGAGATGCGTGAAAAACTTCGATCACGTTTAACAAAGAGGAAAGAAGAGGTCCCACAGAAGCGGCACTCTCTGGGAGAGCAGGCTGTAGACCACCGGGATGTTGATGAACTTTTAGATTTCATAAACAGTAATGAACCCAAGTCGTCCAGCAGCAATAAAGCTGCAAAGCGAGCACGACACAAATTGAAGAAAAAGGTTAGTGTGCCTTGTACAAAACAATACACGCTTTTTTTTCCCGCCCCACAGATTTCATTTTTGCATAGCTCTTTTATAGTATAGGAAAAAACAAAACTGCAATAAATGCTGAAAGTGCCATTTCTCTCCCGTTCATTGAAGGACACAGGGAACAGATTGGAGATCATGTACTGTAGGGTAATATCGCCACCTGCAGGAGAAGGACGCTAGGCACAAAAAAACTAAAGACCAATCACAGCCTAGGGGCGGCCCCTGCCGGTGGCCAAACCCCCCACCTGCTGACAAGTCTCCAGTTTTTTGCCTAGCGTCAGGAGTAAGGAGCTAAGAATTTTTTCTCGGTATTCTTACCTGCTTCTTCCTGATTTTTTTCAGTGTTGTCCGGGCGACAGGCTGGATGTCTATAACAGGCCGACGCCTTCCCAGGCCGCCAAGCAGCCCTGGCAGCCAAGCCCCAGTGTAAGCCCCCCTCGGCGTGAAGACCTGCCCCCATCCCAGGATTCCAGGGTGGGGGGACGTCTTCGGCTCTTTGCGGGCCGCTGGCTGTCCCGCATCTCCGACACCTCGGTGCGGGAATTGGTGTCCTCGTGCTACAAGATCGAGTTTCTGTCGCGTCCCGAGGACAGGTTTTTCCCTTCCAACATCCGTCTCCCTCCACAGCGCCTGGCGGACCTTCGTGGCGCGGTGGCGGGTCTTTTGTCCCAAGGGGGGGTGATTCCGGTTCCCTCCTCGGAGAGGTTCAGAGGATTTTACTCAAACCTGTTTACGGTGCCAAAGAAGGATGGGGTTCGCCCCATCCTGGACCTCAAGCGGTTGAACGTCTTTGTGCGCGTTCGCCGGTTCCGGATGGAATCGATCCGCTCTGTGGTGGCGTGTCTTCACCAGGGGGATTTCATGGCCTCCCTCGACATCAAGGATGCCTACCTTCACGTTCCTGTTTGTACCT